TCATACACACACACACATGGTTAGCCAGATTACGTATCTTTTTGCTTTTAAATTGCAAGTCATGCACTCCCCCGGGTATATCCAGTAGATGTGTAAAGCATCGCCAATAGATGCATTAAGCACCGCCAATAGATGTCGTAGGCACCGCCCAATAGATGTCGTAGGCACCTCCAATAGATGCATTAAGCATCGCCAATGACCAGGCCTGGTATCGCTCTCCCAGAGAGCTAGGCATAAAGCCGCAATATCAGATCTCATAGAGTGCATGACGAGCTCCATTAAGTTTGATTTAAGTGATCATTCTATTCTTTAGTTAGTCACATCAAAAGTAGCAATCAATATCATCAATAATTTAACACATGTCTATTCACGTATTCAACATATTCACACAGACACATTCACCATTTCATAAAATCACATCGTTGACTTAAAGGCTTCCCAATATCACATTTCTGCCTAACAGGCTTTCCAGTAATCACACGATAGCCAATTAGGCTATCCCAAAATCATTGTATAGCCATTTAGGCCATGCATTATTTCCCCATTGCCTCATAGTCTTTTCAGTACTGTAAAGTTGCCTTTCAGGCCATTTCATATCACATATACATTTCATTTCACATTCATAATAATCATCTACCATGTTTCCCACGTATCATCACATAGTCATACACACATCACATTCACCCATCATTCGTCACATATCATTTTATTCACAAACATATAGTCATAACCATATATTAATCCCACATTTCATATTCTATACTCGGGCCACTTCATGACCCGAATATCATATCTGTGTATCCATACGGTTAATAGGTTAGAATTTACTCACAACACACTTACTATTACTATTCTGCTATACCCTTTCCTCTTTATGATTCCCCAGCTTGCTCCATTCCTTTAGACACAATCATATAAACATGTTTAATGATCGAACAATTTAATTGACTAACTATAACTTATACGCACCGAGACATACAACTCTCCCACAGATGACTATTCTTCCTAATTAAGTTACCAACATAGGAGATCCTTCTAAAGCCTCTCGTATTCCAAAGCTAACTCCCTTCTAGTTGAATTTATGTGCAAATTATATAATAATGATCACTTATAAACCATTCATCCTAAGTGGTTCCTCATTGTACCTGGAACACATGGAAGTAAATATGCATATCAAAATCACCCAAATCCCAATAATGGTTTCCCTTTCCTCTTGAGGAACTCACTTGACCCACCATAAACCATCCCCCTCCTAAGCTTGCGTGAGACTCATGCAAACCCCTTTTAAGATTGATTAATCCTCACATGCAAACCAATTCTCCACTGAGTTCTAATACACCAAGAACACCCACATACATATACATGCACGCCAAACCAAACTTATATATATATATCACACATATGCATACCCATTTCACTACCCAATCATAAGCTTGAGACATGGTTCACATAATTAAACATTACCCCGGTGATAGTTTCCCTCTCTTCCTTACCAACACTTCAACAACTACTAACAGCAAGGCAATTACCTTATGCGCTAAATGACCATGTGCTAGCTCACTCTGATCTGAACAAATGACTTTGATGTTCTTATCAAACTGAGTTTTCACCATTTGACAAAAAGAGTGAAGCAACCCTCTTGCTTCTGATTTACTACTCATTAAGAATAACCAAGTGCATATGCTATTATCATCTACAATTGTTAAGAAGTATCTAAAACCATCATGGGAGACCACATCCACTGGTCCCCATATGTCCACATGAATCATGTCAAAAACAGACTTACAAACTGCAGTACTTCGAGAGAAAGGTAACCTCTTCTGTTTAGAAAGTTGGCAAATCTCACAATGAGATGAAGAAGGTAAAGTAACTATACTACTTTGTTTCTGAATAGTCTTAAGTCTACGCAAGGACAAGTAGTCTTAAGTGCCATAAATTTGATTCCTAACTTGCTTTCACTCCACAGACTTCATGGTTGGTATCCTTAGCATCCCCAGCTCCTTTTCCCGGCAGGTAGAGCCCTCTATCTACCTTGATTGAGCCAATCTTTTGTTGTGAGATTAGGTCCTGGATACAACAGAAGTTTGATTCAAAGAGAAGTGAGACTGGGGCTTTCTTAGTTAACAGACAAACAGAAATCAAGTTGTAGGCAAAAGAGGAAACCAACAGAACGTTGGTTATGAGAAGACCACAAGGAATCTTAGCTATCCCTATACGAGTTACTCTAGCTATTTTTCCATTAGGAAGTATCACATTCATATCAAACACTTCTTTGCTTCTTAGTAATAAACTCATATTGCAAACAATATGGTCACTAGCACCTGTATCAAGCACCCAAACTGTAGAAACAACTTGCTTAAGAGTTGTTGAGAAACAAGTGCTACCTGAAACTGAATGGCGAGGAGCACTGGCTCTAGTAGTCACTGAGTTTGATTAAGAAGGATGAGATGAGGTAGGGTGATGTTGGAGCAGATTACAAAGTCTGTTGATCTCATCCGAAGTAAACCAAATTGGTTGTCCTTCTTGACTGATTTTGCTTTCTGATACATGACTTGTTGGACTTTGTGCTTGAGAATTTCTCCCAGCAGAGCTACCTCCAAATCCAGCATTCGTCTCAATTGACCCAGCAAAACTCTTTCCTCCACCTTCTATTTTATTCTTGCTCTTCAACCAATAACAGTCTTCTATCATATGATTATCCTTCTTGCAATAACGGCAAAACAGATCATGAGAAGGCTTTTTCATGTCTCTCCCAGTATCTCTTCGTTCCTCTCTTCATTGGTTAGGGTAACCTGAAGAGGCAACTAGAGCAATAGTATCACTGTTTGATTTTCCTTTTCCAGTGTTCATATGCCTTTCCAGTTGGACAACAACCCTTTACACAACATCGATATCTGGGAGAGGATCAAGCATAAGCATCTATGTTTTAACCTGCTGGTAATTCTCATTCAACCCAAGCAGAAATCTAATCACTCTTCTCCTGCCATGATATTTCATAACAGTCTCATAAGTTTTAGCTGTACAATCACAAAAGGGAATGGGATCATAGCTCTCCCATTCATCTCATAACAACTTCAGTGCGGCGTGGTACTGTCTTACAATATGATTACCCTGTTTAGTAAGATCAACTTCTCTTGTATATTAGCGATTCTCACAGAATCACCCTGACTGAACTTAGATCTCATATAAGTCCAAGCTTCTGCTGCAGATTTGATGTTGCTCAGACTAGGCACAATATCCTCTGAAACCGAATTCCTAATCCAACACAAGACTGTTCCATTGCATCTATCCCAGGTATTATGGGTAGGATAAGTATCAGGAGGTATCTGCACAGTGTCATTGATGAAACCCCACTTGTTCTTGGTGCGAAGTGTGAACTCCATTGATTCGCTCCATGGAAGGTAATCATCATCGTTGAGCTTGAAATCGATGACGGGTAAGAATGAGTTGTCGCTCGGAGCCAAGTAGTCGGTTGCAATACGGATCTTCATATCGATGGGTTTGGGTCTGTGTACTTGTGGTGGAATCGGAAGATTGGGTTTCACCATCCACCATTGTTAACAAAGAATAAAGGTTTTAGAAAGGAATTGAAGTGAAGGATTAGTAGCCGTAACAAGGCTCTGATACCATGTGAAAACTAGAAACCCAGAAGGTTGATTAAGGTTTCATGATGAGGAAGAAGGCAATGTAGAGTCGGCAGATTAGTGGAATTCACCGTGTTGGCTTGTATTCCGTTTTTAGATAGTATATATACATCATATAGAAGGGAAAGGTAAAGTAAACAAAGTCTATTTACTGTTTATCTAACGGTAACTAACTAATTATTGAAAGAAACCAATGACTATGTGCCATGTGTCTAATGCTAGCCGCTAATCATCATTCTGTCCTTCTCTGATGCATACGGCGCCGCATTCACTTGTGGAGTCTCACCCACTTAGCTGCTAGGACGCCGTTCCAACTATCTTCGTCTCTTTCGTCTGGACTGGGTTAAAGGAAGCCATGTTCCAGTTCTGCAAACAAGCTCTGTACGAAGATCAGCAATGGCGGTTCAATCCTTCTATCTTCACATGCATGTTAGGATAAAGAGAAAAAAAATATTCGGGCCGACTGGAAAGAACTTGGCGATCAACCTAATCAACACGCAGGGGGAAGAGATTTTTTGATTCTAACCTTCCCAGGCAGCACTTGCAGCGCCGCTGTGATGTTTGCGACGGAAATGCGAGCCAATCCATTTCAGGAAATCGTAGCGCTACCGGGCGTTCCTCTCAATTGATTCAAATAGAAAATGCAGAGAATCAAAATATCATTGAAAAAACTAAAAATTCAAAGAAACAAGCTGCCGAATTGTCGCGACTGGTCCAATGCCGCGGCAATTCCAGAACATTAAATTCTAATACGATTTAATTAGCCCGTCAATTTTTTTAAAAAAGAAAAAGAGCCAAAGACCCCTCTAGAGCTCAGGCCGTCCCTAAACATCAAGGTTGTCAACCCGCGGGTTGACCCACGAGTCGACCCAATTTGACCCTGACCCGGTGAGAAAAACAGCCGCACGCACCCGCCGGGCCGACCGCTATAAGGTACCGGGTTGGAGGTCAAATTGTGTCATTTTTTTCTTTAGTTTGCGAACTGCGCCTATTTTCCAATTTTTCTTTTTGCCTAACTCAATCTTTGGAATACTAAGTTGAACATTTGAATATTTATGTTATATAAGTGTGTGTGAATTTTCACTATATGTTGGATCTAAGTACGATATGTTATTTTTGTGTAATATTATATGTTATAACTCATATGTTAGATAAGATTTGATATAATTTATGAGGATAAGTACAATATAATGACTCTTTCTATATTTCCGGGCCAAACCGGGCTAAAACAGTTGACCTATTAACCCTTGACCCACTAGCTCGACCGGGTCCGGGTCAACCCGCGGGTTGACAACCTTGCTAAACATTTACTTTGTCGTGGTATCCACTACCCCACTGACGCGCGTGGAAATAGAAAGAATTTATCGACTTCTCCGGCAAACCGAAACCCCAATTTCTCCCCCTCTTCGCTGGCTCCCTTCCAATTCTTTTCAGCTTTCTCAATTCTCTTCCATGGAGCCGTTTAAACCCTCGAACCCCCTCTTATCCTTCTCCTCTTTCCTCCACCAGCAATGCCTCCGCCTAGGGAACGAGCTTGCCACTAAGCTGGGCGACACCTCAAGAGCCCTATCCACCGCCTTCCCTCCGCCGGCGGCCACTGTCCGAAGGTTCCATCCGCCACTGTTCGCCTCAGTTTCTCAGGCGAACCAGCAGCAACCGCCGCCGGCGCTTAGCACCAATTACGTGGCGAAAAGGCTCACCGGCACGACTCTGTACACTGTGAGCAATACGAACAACGAGTTCGTCCTCATTTCGGATCCTGATGGAGCTAAGTCCATCGGATTGCTCTGCTTCCGCCAGGAAGACGCCGAAGCATTTCTGTCTCAGGTTAGTAATTGAGTCTTGTATTGTGCTTAGTGCCGTGTGATCTTCGAGCTTATGGTGTCTCAAGTATACGTTTCGCTATTCCAATCTGCTTTTTTGCTTTTGTTCGGTGCGAAGGTGCGATTGCGGAGAAAGGAATTAAGAAGTGCGGCAAAAGTGGTGCCTATTACTCTTGAACAGGTTAGAGCCATGTTTGCTGCATATTTTCTTGACTTGGAATTATGAACTTGGAAATGTTGTTAATCTTGAATAGGACCAAAATGATTCACTGTCCTGGAAATCGGTTGTTTAAGCTTCTGATTGTACATTTTGTAGGTCTACATGCTGAAGGTCGAAGGCATTGCATTCAGATTTTTGCCAGATCCTGTCCAAATTAAGAATGCATTGGAGGTTGGTTTTTTGTAGATTTTGCTGCTGCGGTGAAGGCATTACTTAGGCGGAAGTATGCATCAATGGAATTGAAACAGCTTACTCTATGTCAATGCTTCTGCACTTAGTTGTCCATGCAATTCCCTCATTTGGTCATTTTTATTTGAATGTTCATTTCCTTGAAGTTACCATGCTCTTATATTCCCCAAGTCTACCACGCCGTCATGTTGAAGCTGTGACTACTGAGGAATAGAAGGCCCATATTAAGTTTGTTTTTGCTTGAGTATCTCGAGTTGAGAAGCAATGTGCCCTTGTTTTTTTTATCATAATTGTGATTGTGACACATTTTCCTTGCTTTGTAAGTTGTGGAAATTATAGATAAATGTTCATGTTTCTATATCATCTAAGTCACTAATGATGAAGATCAATCTTATGTTTACCAGCTGAAAGCTTCTGATGTAAGGAATGGGTTTGATGGAGTTCCGGTTTTCCAGGTATGTTGCTTGCCTCACTATTATTTAGCATCCCCTCTTCAGTACCAAGCATCATTAGTTAGCTTTCCCTCTTTAGTTGCAGGCCAACCGATATGATGTCAACCATTTTTTGTGGATCACCAGATATTGGAAGTTTTGCACTGAATTTACTGAATCATGATTTCTTTGTTTTACTGCAAAAGGAAAGAGAGGGGGAACTTGGTATTTACATGTGCATTTTGTCTGTCTCTTCCATGATCATTACTGTGGCTTGCATTATACCTGATCAATGCTGTTTCATTATCCCTCTTATTCAGTCAGATCTTTTGGTAGTGAAGAAGAAAAACAGGCGGTTCTGCCCCATATACTTCCAAAAGGTATTCTGACCTCTTGATACCCTGTATGAGCTGTTTGCTCACTACGCATACTCTAGTAAGGTTTAAGCTATTAGTTGACAGATTTGATAATTTGTGCCTTGTGTATAGGAAGACATAGACAAGGAACTGGCAAAGGTTTCAAGGGCATCGAGAGGCGTGCCTCATAATATAATGGTATGAGAACTTGGCATCCCTTAAAAGCGTTTTGAATCTGAAGATTAAACATCTCAACTGCTTTATGATCTTTGTTTACTGATACCGGCATACTCATCTCCTAATTCGTCATAGGCATTCAGTTAAGCGCAAACAGCAGGTTATGTCCATGTGCTAGGTTTTAGTTGCTGTATTTGAGTCACCTTGTGCTTGTGTATTATGATTGGGGAAGATATGAATCTCTAGTCTCTACCAGTTTTAAGATATTTAGTGCAAAACTAAGTTGAAAATATGCTAACTCAGTTGAACTCTTGAATGACTGGCTAGCTAGGGGATCATAATAGCACTGACATGTAGGATTAATGCTCTAACGAGGATATGAGTTTTGTGAAAGTTTTTCTGCGTTCAGTTGGATGACATTTTGATGATCTCATCGTGTTTTCAAATCGAAATCTCTTCTTTTGGTGCTTACTTTGCAACTCCTTCTGAATTGAGATTTGACTGTGGGGTACACCACTATGTGTGATTTTCTATTATCTAAGCAGGTGGGAAGCCTAGAAGATGTTCTGAGAAAAATGGAGGTAATGGATTTTTTTAGTTGAATCAATGTTTTCAACGTAAAGTACTCGCGTTTTATTCACATCGACTCCATTTCTTGTGTAGACAAGTGAGAAGAACTCAGGATGGGAAGATTTGATTTTCATTCCACCTGGTAAATCCCAGTCCGAACACATTCAGGAAATAACCAAATCATAGTTGCTTGAGATTTGGCATAAACTCTCCATCGCGTAGAGCTATCAGTGAAAAACACAGCAAGAGTTTTGGCACGCGTTACCAGGCCAGTAGCTATACAGGTCAGATATTGAGACGATCTCGTTATTTTCCTTTCCTTAACCCTTTTAACTAGGAGCTCAGGATGAGATTCCTTAACCTGGAGCATTCCATTCCCCAGGTGCGCCTGGATAGCTTTGAGTTATGAGGTTCATCGCGATTTGATGTTGTTTGTAGAAGGTTATGGAATGCTAACTCCCGACGGCTAACTTGTTGGAACTTGTTCCGTTACTTTTGCCTAGCCTTCGAATTTGGTGACATGGAAGTTACATCGAGTTTTTGTGAGTCTGCGGGTTGATGCTTCTATTATGTTATACTTCGTCGGCAGTTTATATTATACAAGTATACAACTATACATCATGATATCTCTGCTGAAGTTTCTCTAGGGCATAGACATTCAACAAGACAGCCAGGTATTGATATAAAAAAAAAAAAAAAAAAAAAAAAAAAAAAAAAAAAAACAAGACAGCCAGGTAACAGGAAGAACTAGAGGATGGATTTTTCCTTATCCCCTTAGTAGTCCCTCCAGCTCCAAGACTCGGCCTGGCCCATTATCCAAAGACCCACATCTTCAATTTATCTGCCATGAATAACAAAGGAGCGAGAGATATTGAACCTTCAATAGAGTCTGATTCTTTAGTGCGACTGTGCGAGTGCTTTGAGATGATTAGTACAATTGAGGAAGAGTATATTCCTTTTCAATCGAACTTCCATGCATCTGTGGTGCCTGTGAGTAACACTCGACAGCCCTGATTGACTAGATTTCTTAGTACTTATTAGCTGCCGACAAAAAAATAGGAGGGTAAAACCATTTGCTTCAATGGGTAAATTAGGAGGGTAAACTATTTGCTTCAATAGGTTTAAATCCATTGGATGGGTTTAAAAGGATCTTGCATGTGCTCAAAGTAGGGGTGAATGTTTGGTTCGGTTAACCAAAATGAAACCATTAGAAATCAAGACCCAAACTAGGTTGTTGTCCAAAATCGAAACCGCGAGCTTGTTGGTTTTTAACTAAGTCCTTTATGGATTTGATTTCAATCAGAAAATTTTGAAAAATAAACAAGTGGCCCTTGATTGTGTTAAGGTTTATTGGGGCTTCTATTGTTTTATTAACGATTTAGGATTTTAACCGAAACTATTAAGGATGACCTTACCGGTTTTTACTCGTTAAGGAAAATTGGTAACATACAATTTCACTTTGGTTAACACCAAAAAATCAAAACCGAACCACCACCTCTAGGTTAAACTAATCAAGTGAAAGAAAAATAAGCAAGAGGCCTAGTTCAGAAAAGCAATTGTTGAAGTGATTACCTTGAAAGGAAAAGCTTTGATACTATGTTAATAACTTGTTTGTCTGAATAACTTTTAAGGTTGTTGGTAAGAGTTAAATTACTAAATTATATATTTTCTTTTACAAAAACAAAGATAAAATGCCCAAATATAACACTTTGTTTTCTCTTTGTTTCTAACCAAAGTACCTGTTGAATCCAGTAATCCTGTCAATTGGCAATAAACTTGGATACGTGATGGGGTTAAACAAAACCAAATATTGAACCCTCTTCTCTTGTGGTCGATCGTGTAAACCATGTTCACCCAATCCTGATGGCGATCATCAATCATCATCATGAATGATCATGCATTATATATGTGGGTGAGTTGTGGGAAAACGTTGATATTCGATCTACTAATCAATAAACTATTGTTTGTTGCATTACTTAATCTGATATTTTATCATTGTATCCGAACATCTCTGTGTTGAACCACATAAGACTAAAATACTCAAATCAAAATTATCAAATAACCGAATAAGGGTGGCAAGAAATAAATATTTCTCTTCCACATTTTGTAACGGACAAAAGCGACGTTTCATTGCTAGTAGGAGGCTGACTGTCCAACCGAAGAAAGTTGGTGTGGGAAGGTTCAGCTGCCTTTGCCTGCCTTTTCACCCTTATCCTCCCTCCCTTTCCTTGCTTCTAATCCTAAGATTCCACCCACATTATCACCATTCACCATACCATTCCTCAACCAATATACAAATTTCACATTTCAATTAAACCGACCAAACGTTTGAATCAGAGCGCCTCAACGACTATATAATTTGATCTTCTCGACCCATTTAATGTTACCGTAAAAAAAAAATTAAACAAATTGAATCCACATCAAACTAAATCGGGTCGACCCGAGTCTATTCTAATATTAATCTATCATGCCCTTTATCTCGATTGGATTCGATTTCATCCTATCCACACTCCTAATCTTATGTTTATGTCTCCTGTAAACCAAAGCTTAGAGAATTAGTGCTGGCTATTTGGTTCGGGTTTTATGGTTTTATCTTAAACTGGATCGTATAACCCGGACCGAGACTGGACCAGGACCGGATAGCAAACAATCCAATCCAATTTTTGAGCCTAGATTTGAGGTAAAAAACCATTTGGGACCGCACCGAAAACCGGATAAGAGAGCTCAACACCAAACAATTTAACCTCCTCCCCCTTTCAGGCCTTAGGCCACTCAAATTCCCCCTAATAACACTCAAATTTCCACAAGCTCAATCTAAAATCAAGACCGAATTGGGACCGGACCGGACTGTATCAAATCCAATCTTTGGTCCTTATATTCTCGAAAAGACCGACAGGGACCGGGTCAATTTAACCGGAACGAATCCTATAACCACCCTATAGAGAATATAATGGAAGGTTAAATAGGAAATCAAAATATGTGGAAAATATAAGACGTCAAAAGGATTCTAGAATTAGTAATAAACGCCACCAATAAACATTTGGGAAACAAGTAATGTAGCAGCAGCAGCAGCAGCAGCCTGCATAGCTCTCCAATCTCCATCTCCCTCTCTCATTCTTGGTCCGGCCAATTAGTCTTCAAGGCAAGGAAAACCCACCTCATCATAAACTGCCACGTGGAACTCACCCATTGCCTCATAAACCTAAAGTCTCCAGTCTCTTCCAAGCTGTCGCCTCCTATAACCACTCCCTAAATAAACCCTCCATTATATAAATCCTCATGATCTCACCTTAAAAGTCTTGCCTAGCTTTCTAGCTCTAGGGGAGTTACGTTATAAAGGACATAATCTACACATAGACCTCCCCCGGCCAAACCAGTTTTTCCCCCCTCCAAAACAGAAGGAGAAAGGAAAAAAAAAATGGGGGAAGGGGCGATCGGTTTTCAAAAGACGATGATGATGAAATACTACTCTTTTGTCCCTTCAAAAGCCCTACTCATTAGGCTCAACTTGGTTGTCATAGCACTCTTCCTCAGCGCCTACGCCGCTCTCGTCCTCCGCCCCTCATCCTCCCTCTACTTCGAGAATGCCGGAGTTCTCGTCAGATGCTCTCTTCGCAACTGTCAAGGTAAGGTGAGTCTGTGCAAATATTTCGCGCTGTTGCTACTTTCCATTATCACTTTTTTTTTTTGGGACCATTCCTTTCACAACTAATTTGACGAACATTTTTTTCTTCTTCATATAGATGGAAGGTGGGATCAAGATGAAAGCCGTACTAGAAGACCCACCACCACAACAACAACAAGGAGCGACCATCATGAACATGAAGCACTCCGGTGCCGGCACCACGAAACCCAACCGAAACGTTTCGAAGCTCGAGGTGCCCAGCTTCATGTCCTCCATCGCCGGCCACCGGCGGTCGAGGCTGAAGATCGGGATGGTGAACGCGGACGATGACGACGTCAGCGACTGGGGTCGGGTGGGGGAGGTGGTGCCGATCAAGTACGAGCGTGTCTCGCCGGAGCTGTTCAAGTGGGAGGAACTTTTCCCGGAGTGGATCGACGAGGAGGAAGAGAGCGACGTGCCGACGTGTCCGGAGGTGCCGATGCCGGATTTCGCGGCGTACGGGAACGTGGACGTGGTGGTGGCAAAAGTGCCATGCAGGTACCCGGAGGATTTGTGGGGCCGTGACGTGGCGAGGCTGCAGGTGCACCTGGTGGCGGCCAACGTGGCGGCGAGGAAGGGGCGGAGGGACTGGAGCTGGCGGACGAAAGTGGTGCTGTGGAGCAAGTGCCGGCCGATGGTGGAGCTTTTCCGGTGCGACGAGATGGTGGCGAGGGAAGGAGACTGGTGGTTCTACCAGCCGGAGATGACGAGGCTGGAGCATAAGGTTTCGCTGCCGGTTGGCTCCTGTAAGCTGTCGCTGCCGTTGTGGGCCCAAGGTAAAAACGTTTTTTCACTCTTTTTTTCTTCAGTAATTTACTAATTTAGAACATAGATATTTTGTCAACGATGTTAGGGGATAGTGGTTGCTTAGTGCGGACGATAGCCACGTGGTTGTTATGGTTTTAGAAAATAAGGACGTGCCACTGAAAATTAATCACGCCATTTCTTATTCGTATTAGTTAGTTAGTTAGATAAAATAATATGAATTAGTCTGGTCGTGTCTAGAGTTGGAAGTAGATTAGAGTTGGTTGAGACTTTGAGTCTGGGAGATTAATTATTAGCAGCAGCTATGCCCCATTTTCGTTTTTGTTGTAAGTTGCACTCCATCTCACGTCTTCATTTTCCATTATATTCTATGGCTCACGAGTCACTTCTCCATCACCAAACTCTCAATTTTTAATTATACATTTTCCCCTGTATACCAAGTTAACAAGTTAGTAGAAGATCCAATCTTTTCCGTATTCAGACTCATATTTTCGTATTGGAATCTAAATCTCTAGATTATAAACAATCCAAATATTATTTGCTAACTCTTCGGATTATTAATATTTTTAATTTCCATTGTTTGGTAACTCCTCCGATTGTGAACATTTAACAAAAATAATTTTTATAATTTTTTATTCAATAGCATGTTTACCATTAACCAAAAGAATCAAAGTGACTCAAAAATATTAAGAATTTATTAGTATGGGTAGTTAGTGGAGTAAATTAGAAAATAATGAGATAAAGTAGGAAAAAACTCAAAAATGAAGATATAAAGTCTTTATGATTACGAGAGATTTAATATTTCTATATTTTTATAGATTTGGAAGTTCTTAAACTAAATTCAAGAATACAAAAAAGTAGCGAGAAAACATAAATTTCCGATTCAATAAATTTATAATGTAAATCTTTTTTCTCCAAACGAGCGCCGGTTAAATTTTATTTATAAAAAAATTCACGATAAAATTTTTTCTTATATAATAATACTACGATGATATTTATGTTACTCCGACACACTATGTTGGAACTCGAGTGAACTCTCTACTTATTTTCTTCACCCCCTATAAAAATTTGATTCATTTACTAGCTTTTTTACTCCTTCATTTGGCAATTCCACAAAAAATTTCCCTTGAGTAATACGATTTATTACTATAAGGGTAAAAAAAAGTATAACAAAAGGGGGGTAATTGATCTTCTTAACAGGCACCGACGAGGTCTACGACCTCTCCAAGATCCAAACATCAACCAAAACGGTGCGGAAAGAAGCATACGCCACCGTCCTCCACTCCTCGGAGACCTACGTCTGCGGCGCCATCACCCTGGCCCAGTCCCTCCTCCAAACCGGAACCAAACGCGACCTCATCCTCCTCCTCGACGCCTCCATCTCCCACCCCAAACGCGCCGCACTCGCCGCCGCGGGGTGGCAGCTCCGCCTCATCACTCGCATCCGCAACCCACGCGCCGAGAAGCACTCGTACAACGAGTACAACTACAGCAAGTTCCGCCTCTGGCAGCTCACCGACTACGACAAGGTCATCTTCATCGACGCCGACATCATCGTCCTCCGCAGCCTCGACCTCCTCTTCCACTTCCCCCAGATGTCCGCCACCGGGAACGACAACTGGATCTTCAACTCCGGCATCATGGTCCTCGAGCCTTCCAACTGCACCTTCCAGATCCTCATGGACAAGCGGTCGGAGATCGTATCCTACAACGGCGGCGACCAGGGGTTTTTGAACGAGGTTTTCGTGTGGTGGCACCGCCTCCCCAGGCGCGTGAACTACCTCAAGAACTTCTGGGCCAACACGACCAACGAGGCGACCGTGAAGAACGAGATGTTCGGGTCGGAACCCGCGAAGGTGTACTCGATCCATTACTTGGGGTTGAAGCCGTGGAATTGTTATAGGGATTACGATTGTAATTGGAACGTTGGGGACCAGAGGGTTTACGCGAGTGACGTGGCGCATGAGCGGTGGTGGAGGTTTCACGACGCCATGGATTCCGGGTTGCAGAGGTTTTGCGGGCTGAGTAAGCAGAGGAAGATTGAGCTGGATTGGGATCGGCGGATGGCGAGGAAAGCTGGGTTTGTTGATCAGCATTGGAAGATTAATGTCACTGATACGAGAAGGAAGCATTTGGTTTCCTGATTGCTGTGGAAACTGGAAAGAAAGGGAGGGGGGGGGGATTCTTTTTCTTTTTTTAATTACTATACTTTTTGTTTCGTTTTTTCTTTTCTTTTTTTTTATCGAGGGGTAATAATATTTTTACTTGTAAAATTCAGGTTGTTTTTTTTTTTTTTGGGTTGGAGGATCTTGGTGGTGGGTTTACGGTTTATTTACTACTCTACATTTTTAATCTAGAGTATGATGAGTTACAAATATGTGGATTATGAAAATACAAATCTAGTTAATTTAATGATATAGCTATTCTGATAGTGTTCGAAAATAGAAAATGGATAGTAGTAGAGCAGAAAAAGATCATCTTTGAGATTGTGAGGTTTGTTAATCGTATTATCGGTCAATTTAATGACATCACATAACATTCACTAATCTGATATGTATATTCAATTGGTAAAATTCGAATGGTATGTGGTGCTCTTTACTAGCATGACGATCCTTTTAACCTCTATACCCCTATTGCCCAACTCGCTTGAACCCTCCTATGATATCACACGAGTGATGGAGCATGATCGCTAGCTAGTAGTAGTTGATAGCAAATAATTATTGAATATATATTGAGCTTTTGAGTCCAATAATTTGACGATAAATATTAAGGATCACGTTAAACAGAGGAACAAATGATAATGACTCGTGCTGACAACCATGATAAATATTAAGGATCAAGTTAAACAAAAGAGAAGAATAATGACCTATACTGACAACCATGATAAAATTGATTTCCTTATGAAGTAATAATTGAAACCGAAGTCGTGGAGATGAATAAACCCAATATTAGGAGAAACAAACCATCGGTTAATTACTTAGCTCTAATCATGGGATTAAGGCAAAACCAAGACTGTAATCAATGTACCCTCTGGCTGCTTTGAAGCTAAGACAAGTTGAATTTGAGGATTGGGGAAGTATGATATTATCCCAATCCTATCGCTTTCTCACTTTTTTTTGAGGGAAAGGAGGGACCGCACCTCCTGTAATTTTATTAATTAAGCCAAATGGCTAGAATCCAGATACAAATCGTTCAAAAGGAACGAAGGGGAAATGCCTATCCAACTATTACAATGATTTAGATCTATCTGAACATGAGCCAAAGTATGAGCAACAGTATTAGCTTCCCTGTTCGTGTGCTTCCAAGCATAGCAGTCCTCAATACCTTCAGTCTGCAGAATGGCCTCACACACCACTCCAAGTTCTGTCATGTCCACCCTCTGCTGCCTTAATGTGTTCACTAGTGTTAGGCAATCCGACTCGACTTCGAAGGGGCCGAACTGTTGTTCTTTCATCTTCTCCAAAGCGAATAACACTGCTCGACCCTCTGCCACTGCTGGACTCCATTTTTCGGCTTCCCTTTTCACAGCTGCAAATTTGAACGCACCAGTCCAATCTCTAACTACCATACCCAAGCCTGTTCCACCATCTCCCAAACACCCAGCATCAGTGTTCACCTTAAGAATTCCAATTCCCGGCGGCTGCCAGTGTTTAACCCTTGAGACTTGTTCCCTTCTTTTCGCCCCTGCCTGTTGTTCATGTCTATATTCTAGAATCCAATTTTGAGCTCTCATGGCCACCTCCTCCTCGTCCAGCTTTTTCCCATTGAATTGCTGGTTATTCCTCTCGCTCCACAGAAACCAAAGTAGCGTACCAACCTCCCCAGCCTTATCAGAGTTTGTCGAGCTAAGGAACCTATTCAGCCAACCTGACAAGCCTTCTCCTTCCACATAACCACACTGATCCGGCCAGGCCGATCTTCTCCACACCCTTCTCGACCATCCGCATTCCATAAATCTGTGTTCTTGCGTCTCTACCAGACCACAATAGGGACAATCCGGTTCGATCTTTTCTTCCATTTTCTTTGCTAAGTTCATGTTTGTAGGCAAGATGTTCTGCATCATCTTCCAAATAAAAAATCTTACCTTTGGCGGAGAATTAACCTTCCAGATTGACTCCCAATTCGTGTTTGGCAGATTTTGCGGGAGCTGGTTTTCCTCCTCCCCTTCCTCCAACTCAACTTCTGGCTCTTGAATTGCTAGATCATATCCCGTCTTCACGCTGTAGACACCATCGGCAGTATAATCCCAACAGAGGGAGTCATTAGCCGGCCTATTTTGCAGGGGAATTAGCCGGCCTATCGCTTTCTCACTTAATCAGCAATTTGTTAAGTGTCTTGTTTAAACATTTCTAGTAATTCATTCACTTTACAAAACCAAATAACAAAATCAGTAGCTGATGACTTCATTGCTTCGATAAAGAACAAAAAGATTTGAAATATGGTCTGGCCAAATTAAAATCTCTTGATATTTGGTGGGTTGTCGTTATCAATCGTCATCAAGAACAGGTACAAAAGGCAATTAGGGTGATGATCCGTGGGAAAAGGTAAAAGTATGAGTACTTGGGGAGGAGAAAAAGTGATGTAACTGCAAAGGCAACCATGATTGGCCGAATAGGAAACAAGTCTCAAACTGGAAGTTATGATTGGGTAAAACTCATTCTAGGTGCACCTAATTATTCTCAATTCTAACACCAGACTAGCAAAAAAGAATTTGGAATCAATCATAGCCTATTTTTAATGGAAGAGGATGAACCGAATTAATCAATTGTGTAGAAAAAGTATGACTATGGAGAGGTACAATAATAACTTTGTTAAAATCTCTTCTAATAAATCGTACTGAATTGTACAATTGGTACATGATTTAATTGATGGTATGAGCTTATAATATATTACAATATCATAAACGGTGAAAACTCCATCAATCAAAGTTTCATGGATAGTTTGTATTGGCCAAAAATTAATCTTATAGAAGGTTCACCAATATAGTCAAATCGGAATTTTATATAAAATTGAAAACAAGGTCAAATCGAAGAGTTTTAAGGTTCACGTAGAAATTAAGGATTAAAGCACCGAATTTATTAATAATTTAGATATTGAATATAACTTAAACTAATAGCACATAAAAATGAAGGAAATAATTAGATGCGGGGAAAGAATGGATGGCAATCATCGGTTGATGGTCGTGACTAGCAAGAAGGCCGATGAATAATGGGTTGGTGATGGTCGCTAGCGGTTAGTGTCAGACAGGAAGAGAAGGAGATTATGTTGACGGAGGAGAAGGAAACGTAAATTAAGATTTGTTAATTTTGAAAAAAAAAGTGAAAAATTAGCCCGAGAATTTGACCCGCTTCCTAAATAAATTTAAATTCAGTCATTTCAACTTAGATCTTAAATTCTTTAATTCCTATAAAATCTAAATTTTACCAATTTCATATGATTTTACGGTCCATCAAACTTACAGTGAATCCAAAATCACAATTTCTAAGTAAAATCATAAATCTTAGAATTTTACCATTAAAATTCTGATTTTAACTGCCTTGGGCCAACTACCATTATTTTATTAAATATATACATATAATAGAGAAATGAAATGAATCTCACTTAGCTTGATTGGATTAATTAAGTAATGATAATTGAATAAAGCCAAAAGCATTATCTTGCGAGTAGGTAGTTAGTTGGATATATTAATTACTTGGTGAGTGTACCAATTTTGCTGTTAGCTAGCAGGCGGCCGGCCAGTACATGCTCGTTGGTCGAATGTCAACCAACTCTTTCTTTTCTCTACAAAACTCCTGGAAAATATTGATACATTTGATCTATATATGAAAAAAAAAAGATAATTATATGTAGATTTGATACTGTCAGAAAAAGAATTATATGTATTTCAAAAGGAAATACATTATTATGTACATGAATCATGGATAGTTGGATATAAATGATTGAGATTATCATATGATTCTGCCATGAAGATGCCACTACTTAGTACTTACTGGCACGAATAATTAGACCAGACTGACCAGCTGGTTCATAAAAAAGAAATACCACTTCCTCTTCATTTACTGGCTGTACCTGTAATCTATCTGAATTGAAGTCAAACATGGAAATTAGTCGTGCAGTGAAGCTTAAGGCTTTTGGCCCATTGAGTTACTTATGGGCCCTTACTGGAGATTGGACTCGAAGTGCGGCTTCTGTATTCTGATCACAAAGGACTTCTAGGATTTCATGGCTTATAAGATGAGGGACATTATAGTGCCCATACCATACCAGAAATTTGGATGAGGGATAGAAATTTACATTTAGGGTTGTTAGATAGATCAATTGAAAAACGAGATAATTTGGTTAATTGTCTCATTTTACAAAATGATTTATCTATAGTAAACAAATTCGAATTGTCTGACACCATCCTAGACAATTGTAATTGTCTCAAAATGAGTCAATTTAAAACATTCCAGATAGAATTGCTTCCATCTAAATTTTGTGTTGTTAAATGGATCAATTTGGCCAGATTGTCTCAAAACAAAACAATTGGGTCAAATTGATCTATTCCAATTCCTCATCCAAACGATCTCTAAGATAATTTGAATTGACGAGGAGTGAAGGTTTATCAGCTGCTATATTCTCAAATTTATCATAAAATTTTGACATGATTTTAAGAGCTGAGTAAAGACCTCACATCAACCTTTCCTCCACAGGAGCAAGTACATTTTGACAAGGAAGGCTTGTTATATCTCAGGTCGGCTGTATAAGTATAACGCAACTTTTCTTTATTCCTGCTATCTATTTCTCATTTCATTTGTAGCAAAAGATATATAAAAACAATTCTTGAAATAAATTGGGTTTAAATAATAATTTAGATAACAATTTCAGCAATCCGACCTTAGCTCAGTTGGTAGAGCGGAGGACTGTAGTAAGAAACTGAAATCCTTAGGTCACTGGTTCGAATCCGGTAGGTCGGAATTGTGTTTTTTTCTTTCCTTTTTTCTACTCAACCGTGAGCTATACATAAATGAAAGTTTCAAGTAGCTACACGAATTTACAAAGTTACATCCCTAAAATACCATGAGTCTTATGCTCCATATTTTGGGGACAAGAAGACCTGCGATCTTTTCAGTTGTTAGAGAGGGTATGATTATGAATGACGGTCTTGAGAAATGTGGGTTGGAACTAGGATAGTTGCTCCAAAAGTTATCAATTGAACTCTTGTGAGTCACTGCTAGCTTCCTGCACAAAGAACCCCCAGTATCGCCACCATTGCCACCCGCCCATTCTTGACCTACTTCTGCCTCCAAGCACCAACACCCTTTATGTCCTTAGCTAGCCCAACAGGGTTCAGCAAAGGACCTCCTGGATACCTGAAATCAACCCAGCAACGCACAAAAGGGGCCTCTAGACCTTCCAAATCCAATGCAGCTCCCAATCCAAAGAAAGAACCTTCCTTCGCCTGAGATCCTGGACTAACAAAGTACATGTACCTGCCTGCTTGTCTCAACATACCTGTAAAACCCATAAGGAAACTTGAGTTACTGATTTTGAACTGATTGGCATCAAAACATTGGACTGAGAGGTTTCATCTTCGAATTCTCCAGACTCCAATGATAGCAGGTGTTATGATCACAAAGAGTCCGTGCAAACTTCAACTCCCACAAATTAGCTTTCATTTGAACTTGTTAATAACAAAAGTCCGCTGTTAATAACTTGGAATTGAAACAATAGCACGTTTTGCAATAATACAATACCACATTAATAGAATGTGTTGAAAGAGCAGAGTTCTTGTGCATGCAAAGTAGAATTTCACAACACCTGCCTCATACCAAACCGGCAAGTTCTTGGTTCCTGTCACCCTTAGAAACTGAAACAGACACACAACGTTAACAATCGTTTGGCAAAAGTGGATGGCCAAGAAAAGCATCATAGTACATTGAGGTGAGGGCACTCACGTCAGTGAAAAGGATTCCAGCAACTCCAAGCATGGAGAGTCTGGCATTGACAAGCTCTGCCTGTAAATACCATTTCAAGCTATTTGGATCCTCTCCAAGCCAAGCAAGTCTAACGCAGAGTCTCCAGGCAAATATAATCGGTTCCTGGGAATTTGCAGCCATAAATAAAGGAAAGTTGTTTCATGTCTCAACCATTTAATAGACGAAGATGAGAGAGGAAATGCATAACTTGAATGCCTGTGTAAGCTTCAAGTAGAAGCTAAATACAATCTCCATAGAAGTACCTATTCACTTGAAAACATGAGAGGAGATAAAGGGGAAAAAAATGCAATACAATTTCAACACAACAATACATTTGGTTGGAACTTCGACTACAACATTAGGGTTTATTTAGACTAGAGCAGTTGTTAGTTTTCAAAAGCAACGTCTGCCTGTCATCACTTCCTGCTGGAAACACTAAAAGAGCTGACTTTCATGTTTGTGGCGATCACAAGTGGAGCCTCTGGAGAATCAGTAACAGCAAACTTGTCGTGCATGAAACGGCTTTCGACAATGGAATCATCCTTGGGGACTATCTTGTAACAGTAGCAGCTTTTCAACCCCTCCTGATTCCGGTAGCACTCATGGCCACTATCTTTCACCTGCTGGAAGTTCCAGATGACGCTGAACTTGCCCACAGTCGCCACCAGGTGTCGCTCCTGCTTACCGTTCTCTGTAACCTGCAGAATTTGAGTAGGGAAGAGGTGGTAAGTTCAATACACACCAAGTCACAGGTTAAAATCACTTTGAGTTAGTCGCATATGAAGAAGACAGACTACCAGGAGCAAAACAAACTATAGTTTTGCCCGTGTTAGAACCTGCAGACTACATATCCCAAAGTAAAACGTTCAAGCAGTTGGAATGGAAGGGAAGTGCAATCAGTACAATTGTAAGAATAGTAAAGGGGAGATGCTGTAGACATCTCCTCACAATATAGAATCCAGATGACAACACAGAGATCAAAGAAGTGGCCTTGTTAGGTGAACAAACCACGCAATACAGAATACATTCAAGTCCTGATGATGTTGAAGCCTGCCCATCATCTTTCTAATGCAGAAAAACTCAGAATATAGTGGTGCAAAGCTCCTAGTTTGAATTCTCATCTGTCTATAAGAAGCACCACCTTGTTTATCAACGACTAAAAGACGTGGAAATGTGTGATCAGAGGAAAAGGCCACGTGAATCAACCAGATCACATCCTAGAACTGGTACCTAAGCAAACCCTAGATTCACAAAGCCACAGCAGAGCAGAAGTATTTCAAAAGAAACAAGAGGCTTAAATTTCTGTTATGTTTCAGAGTGCATACGTCCCCAAGCGGTATACATAATTTGGATATCACATAAAAAGTCAGCATATCAGTTACAGGTTTCTTTTCTGAACATATCAAACACAGACAAAGAAAGGAACGTAAAACATGTACAGATGTGGGAGAATCTAGAGACTAATGGCAAAGCTTGAATTGAACACAGCTCATCAAAAGGCATCGTTAAGGCAGCTACAATCTGCAAATAGTCAAATACTGATGCAAATAAAGAACATGCATATCTTACCCATGAGAACTGAGCATTGCGAAATCTGTTAGTAGCCCCAGCTGAATGTGAATCCAATGGAGTCAGCTTCAACAGTCGAGGCGCTGCAATCCTATTCCCCATACGACCACTGAAGCCAGTCTTTGTCTTCCCGTCCTTGTCGGTGAAAAGAGTGCAGATCAGGATCAGATAAGTATCGGTCGTACCCAATATCCACTTCCCATCATACGTAACGTCAACATGAGTAATAGGTGACCCAAGACCAGGAAAAGCTGTTTTAGCTTGCCGCATAGAACTGCTAGAATACAAGCGAATCTTTCCATCGAGAGACCCCACAACAATCGACCCATCACCAGTGCTTGCAAAACACCGGAAGTTAGTCCCTCGTGTGAACTGATGGCCCTGAGCCCAATTAAGAACAGGGGCACTGGAAGTAACAAGATCCTGGACAATTCCATGGCGATCTCGCATATCCCACCTGCAAAGACGGTTATCATCCAATCCCAAGAATGTTGATCCTGATGGATCCAACTGAGCACCTTTGCTATCATTCACGATATCCCTCATGGTTATATCAGTCCCGTCTTTCTCAAACTTCCACTCTGTAACAATCCTACCAGTTTCAATATCCAGCTGATGCAGCCCTCTTGAATGTGGTTTTGCATCATTGAATGGGCTCATAAGCAACATATTTGTCTCAGCACGCATGAGAAGTGCCTTCTTAGGTGTTGAATGAGCCATACTCGAACCAGCACCACCCCTTTGCTGCTCTCTGCCGAAATTAACATAAACACCTTTCCCTTGAATCCCATGGCTGAAGTTTTTAACCACCTGAATCCCTGAATCTCCCACGAGAAAGCTGTTATCCAGTGCCCCCAATGCCAAGCTCTGTATCCCATCATTTGCCACCTCCTCAAACTCTTGTGTCAAGTCCTGATTTCTCCTCACCGGAGTAACTGTTTGAGGGCTTCTCGAGAAACTGTCTTCAGCATCTTCCCACATGGAATCGTCGGCCTTCTCAGGGTTAGCCCACCCGATGAAATCCTTGCCATATACCTTCACGTGATTCGCCTCGTTCGCCTCATACCCATAAGTATTCTCGAACAAGCAGTCACGATACTTACCCAGAAACACTTGATAATCCTCGTCGCTAAAGAACTTCATCGCCCAAACAGCATGATCCACGAAGTCAACTCGGCGCTGGTCCTTGAATGTCTTCAATTGCATCTCCGCATCAACTTTAACCCTAACTTTACTGCTCACCTTCAAGACCCACCAACCTTCCCCGTCAGATTCCGATTCCGACTCCTCATCTGCCTCGTCTTCTCCGCCATGGACACGACCAACCTTCGAGGTCTTGAGAAATGAGTAAGAAGTGAGCTTCTCGAAACATACCCATTTCGCCTTGGGGGTGTTCCCTCCGTGGTGGACATAGAGCTTCACTTCGTTCTGCAAGTTGGACTTCTGATTCTTGGACGCCGTAGGGTATTTCAGCTTCAGAGCTCTCAGACGTGCCTCCACGTCGTCGACAGACGACGGAGTTCTCGGCCGCCGGTCAGATGGTGAAGACTTGTCAGGTGTCTCTTCGCTTGCGTCATTGTAGCTCGCTTCTTCCCCCTCTTCCTGATACTCAGAGTCGGAGTCCAAAAGCTCCAGATCCTCGTGGCTATGAGCTGCTCCCATTTCTCTTTGGTTGCTTACGTTTCTCGTCAACGCTAGTGAGCGAACGGGAAGCTAGAAAGACAAAATTGCAGAGCTCTACCGCAAGATTAGAATCGAAGAAGATAGCAAAGCGCCATTTTCCGGAATTTGAAAACTTTTGAAACTTCCAAACTAGGGTTTCAGATTCACCAGAATCCAGAATCATTCTTTTTCCCCGAAATCTGGGGAGGATAACTGGGCCTCAAAAAGCCCAACATAGTTTTAACCCATAAAAAGTTTAACCCATAGAAGCCCAATACGTTACCCAATCTGGCTAACTCCTGAGCAACTATCAGTCTATCACCGCCAATTTCCTCAATCACAATCACATAGTCACATGCCACAAAACTTATTAGTCGTTGCGGTTGGGTTAGGCTATAATCTTAGTGTTAGACATATAGTTAGTAGGATAATAATAATAAATAATGTTAGTGAGGTAGGGTTAGGCGGCTAGGTATAGCCGAATGGGTTAGGATTAGTTCATTAGGGTTTTGGGTTTATTTCCTATATATATGTACTTTGGGCTTACGTTCATAATCAGTCAAGAATAATATTACAGATAGTATCTCTCAAACCCTAGCCTCTAATCCCTCTCAAATCTCGTCCCTCTCTTCCCTAAAGGCCGCCGACCATTCTTCTATCCCAACCCCGATTCTGTTCTTCAATCCCTAATCCCCAATTCTCCTATCTAAATCCCTAATCTCAACCCTAAATCCCAATCTCACGAGTGCCGAAGATCAATATCGAGAATCCCTAACAAGAGGGTTCTTTCAGTGGTATCAGAGCCTGGTTGCAGGCACTCGTACCAGAGCCATGTCGGGATTTGAAGAGATCTCGCTCAGTGAACTCACAAAGATTCTGAAGTTGAAGCTGGAAGAGGTAAGGAGGAACAAGGTTACCTCATCCTTACCGCTGTCCGGGAACATTGCGCAGGCTGCTCCATCCAAAGCTGCAGCCGAGCCAACAATGACGGCCGAGGAGACGGCGAAATCTCCTGCGATATCCCCATCAGCAACCGTCTCTTCACCGGAAGAGGCAAAGACAGACGTCAAGGAGCGGTTGGCGACCGAGCTGCCAGCCACGAAAGAGACTACCAGCATCGTTGAGTTGAAAGAGAGACCTGCGGCGACCGAGCCGCCAGCGGTGGAGGCCGCAGGGGAAGGAGCTGGAAGTGAGGAGTTGGCGGCAGCGGCCACGGTCAATTCATCCGTCGTAACCACCTCACCAATCGACCTCGATGAAGTAGAACTAGCGGCAAAGCTCGTTGTCAAACCGCTGGAAATTCAAGCGGCGGCTGCATCAATCATCTTCGCTACATCATCACCAACCACCATCAGTATTGTCTCATTATCAATGCCAGTTCAAGGGAAACGTCCAACTGACGGTTGGAAGTTCCGAAAGAAGAAGAGTACGAGGACGACCCCAATTTCTCTCCAGGCAGACGGAGACGACGAGGATTGGACGACCAGCAATGCGGTGAACAGGAGTTCGTTGGCAAAGCTCAGGGCCAGTGACCCACGACGCAGAGCCGAGCCATCGACGGGCCACTGGGAGGACTCGCCGAAGCCAATAACCCCGAGATCGGCGGCAACGACGGCAAGGAAGAAGGGGTCAGAGTTGGGCGTCGATAGACGACGCGAAGCTAAGGCGACAATTGAAGAATCGGAGCCGCGAGGAGGGCGATGGGAGAGACAATCGACGATTGCTCCGGTCGTAGTGGCCAGGATTCGCTCGCCGCCATGGAGGGAATCGTCGCGGATGACACCGTCGGAGAAGCAGTTCGACGGCGACTGCTGCGAACCAACGATCAACGACGTGCTGAGGCAAGAGATGATAAGCTCCAGATCGAAGTTGTCTTCCTGCCGCCTGAAGATCTTGCTGGCGCGGAAAGAAGCGGCGGGTCTACCTGGCTGTCGAGGGAGCCTCTCCACCCCGGGGGACGAATCTGAGAAGAAGCCAGAGGACGAGTTGTCTCCGGATAACGACGCGAAGCAGCTGCCGCCGAGGATGAAGATGCTGAAGGAAGAGACGGGAGCTCCCATCGTGGCGAGGGGCGTGCGGGTACCGGCGGCGTCAGTTACAGCAAGGCCAGAAGTGGCCGGGTCCCGCCGTCGTGGGGCAGCCTGTGTGTCGCCGGAGGAGGAAACACCGAGGGAAGAGGCGAGGAAGAAGGAAGGCGGCGGCGAGGTTCCTTCTCCAGCAACCCTAGGTTGCGCCATCAAGCGGCCAGAACCGTTGGGCCGATATGAGGTTCGGGTCGCTGGGCTCGAGTTGGCTGGATTGGATCATCAAGACGGGCAGCATTTTGGACTGAGATGGGCCTCGCATGGGCTTGAGTATATTATATTAGCACCAGACAAGAAAGAGATCAGCTGGGCTCAGGGAGGTATTGGGCTGAGTTCTCAGAATGGGCTTGGACCACCAATGAACTCTTTATTTGGATTTAATTTGCAGGAAAAGAAGATGAAGAAGGAAAGGGATGGGCTCGTTGGGTTAAGAGATGGGTTTTCAAGCAAGCTTAGTCCAAATCAATTTGGGAAAGAATGGAGTCCAAAAGAGATTGTCTTCACCACCAAATCCATGATAGAATTTATAGAGCCCTCTCCTGAAGATCTCAGACTGGAGCATAAAGAAGAACAGTTTTCCGATTCTTATTTCGTGGACTTCGAAAAAGAGGAGGAAGAACTGTTCGGCTATGAGATCGGTAGCATGTGCCACGTGGAGGGAGAAGAGTCGTGGAAAGTGGAAGTTGTTCGAGAAAGATTAATTTATAGAATTGAGCGCAATTGGAAGCGAAGAAAGCGGAAGATCCAGACGAAAGTTGACTGCAACCTTGAGGACAAGGTCGCTTCCAAGGAGGGTGGAATGTTAGACATATAGTTAGTAGGATAATAATAATAATAAATAATGTTAGTGAGGTAGGGTTAGGCGGCTAGGTATAGCCGAATGGGTTAGGATTAGTTCATTAGGGTTTTGGGTTTATTTCCTATATATATGTACTTTGGGCTTACGTTCATAATCAGTCAAGAATAATATTACAGATAGTATCTCTCAAACCCTAGCCTCTAATCCCTCTCAAATCTCGTCCCTCTCTTCCCTAAAGGCCGCCGGCCATTCTTCTATCCCAACCCCGATTCTGTTCTTCAATCCCTAATCCCCAATTCTCCTATCTAAATCCCTAATCTCAACCCTAAATCCCAATCTCACGAGTGCCGAAGATCAATATCGAGAATCCCTAACAAGAGGGTTCTTTCAGTGGTATCAGAGCCTGGTTGCAGGCACTCGTACCAGAGCCATGTCGGGATTTGAAGAGATCTCGCTCAGTGAACTCACAAAGATTCTGAAGTTGAAGCTGGAAGAGGTAAGGAGGAACAAGGTTACCTCATCCTTACCGCTGTCCGGGAACATTGCGCAGGCTGCTCCATCCAAAGCTGCAGCCGAGCCAACAATGACGGCCGAGGAGACGGCGAAATCTCCTGCGATATCCCCATCAGCAACCGTCTCTTCACCGGAAGAGGCAAAGACAGACGTCAAGGAGCGGTTGGCGACCGAGCTGCCAGCCACGAAAGAGACTACCAGCATCGTTGAGTTGAAAGAGAGACCTGCGGCGACCGAGCCGCCAGCGGTGGAGGCCGCAGGGGAAGGAGCTGGAAGTGAGGAGTTGGCGGCAGCGGCCACGGTCAATTCATCCGTCGTAACCACCTCACCAATCGACCTCGATGAAGTAGAACTAGCGGCAAAGCTCGTTGTCAAACCGCTGGAAATTCAAGCGGCGGCTGCATCAATCATCTTCGCTACATCATCACCAACCACCATCAGTATTGTCTCATTATCAATGCCAGTTCAAGGGAAACGTCCAACTGACGGTTGGAAGTTCCGAAAGAAGAAGAGTACGAGGACGACCCCAATTTCTCTCCAGGCAGACGGAGACGACGAGGATTGGACGACCAGCAATGCGGTGAACAGGAGTTCGTTGGCAAAGCTCAGGGCCAGTGACCCACGACGCAGAGCCGAGCCATCGACGGGCCACTGGGAGGACTCGCCGAAGCCAATAACCCCGAGATCGGCGGCAACGACGGCAAGGAAGAAGGGGTCAGAGTTGGGCGTCGATAGACGACGCGAAGCTAAGGCGACAATTGAAGAATCGGAGCCGCGAGGAGGGCGATGGGAGAGACAATCGACGATTGCTCCGGTCGTAGTGGCCAGGATTCGCTCGCCGCCATGGAGGGAATCGTCGCGGATGACACCGTCGGAGAAGCAGTTCGACGGCGACTGCTGCGAACCAACGATCAACGACGTGCTGAGGCAAGAGATGATAAGCTCCAAATCGAAGTTGTCTTCCTGCCGCCTGAAGATCTTGCTGGCGCGGAAAGAAGCGGCGGGTCTACCTGGCTGTCGAGGGAGCCTCTCCACGCCGGGGGACGAATCTGAGAAGAAGCCAGAGGACGAGTTGTCTCCGGATAACGACGCGAAGCAGCTGCCGCCGAGGATGAAGATGCTGAAGGAAGAGACGGGAGCTCCCATCGTGGCGAGGGGCGTGCGGGTACCGGCGGCGTCAGTTACAGCAAGGCCAGAAGTGGCCGGGTCCCGCCGTCGTGGGGCAGCCTGTGTGTCGCCGGAGGAGGAAACACCGAGGGAAGAGGCGAGGAAGAAGGAAGGCGGCGGCGAGGTTCCTTCTCCAGCAACCCTAGGTTGCGCCATCAAGCGGCCAGAACCGTTGGGCCGATATGAGGTTCGGGTCGCTGGGCTCGAGTTGGCTGGATTGGATCATCAAGACGGGCAGCATTTTGGACTGAGATGGGCCTCGCATGGGCTTGAGTATATTATATTAGCACCAGACAAGAAAGAGATCAGCTGGGCTCAGGGAGGTATTGGGCTGAGTTCTCAGAATGGGCTTGGACCACCAATGAACTCTTTATTTGGATTTAATTTGCAGGAAAAGAAGATGAAGAAGGAAAGGGATGGGCTCGTTGGGTTAAGAGATGGGTTTTCAAGCAAGCTTAGTCCAAATCAATTTGGGAAAGAATGGAGTCCAAAAGAGATTGTCTTCACCACCAAATCCATGATAGAATTTATAGAGCCCTCTCCTGAAGATCTCAGACTGGAGCATAAAGAAGAACAGTTTTCCGATTCTTATTTCGTGGACTTCGAAAAAGAGGAGGAAGAACTGTTCGGCTATGAGATCGGTAGCATGTGCCACGTGGAGGGAGAAGAGTCGTGGAAAGTGGAAGTTGTTCGAGAAAGATTAATTTATAGAATTGAGCGCAATTGGAAGCGAAGAAAGCGGAAGATCCAGACGAAAGTTGACTGCAACCTTGAGGACAAGGTCGCTTCCAAGGAGGGTGGAATGTTAGACATATAGTTAGTAGGATAATAATAATAATAAATAATGTTAGTGAGGTAGGGTTAGGCGGCTAGGTATAGCCGAATGGGTTAGGATTAGTTCATTAGGGTTTTGGGTTTATTTCCTATATATATGTACTTTGGGCTTACGTTCATAATCAGTCAAGAATAATATTACAGATAGTATCTCTCAAACCCTAGCCTCTAATCCCTCTCAAATCTCGTCCCTCTCTTCCCTAAAGGCCGCCGGCCATTCTTCTATCCCAACCCCGATTCTGTTCTTCAATCCCTAATCCCCAATTCTCCTATCTAAATCCCTAATCTCAACCCTAAATCCCAATCTCACGAGTGCCGAAGATCAATATCGAGAATCCCTAACAAGAGGGTTCTTTCACTTAGTTTGTTATCAGTTAATAGTTAAATAATTTATATTTACCGACAACTGTATTATTTATATTAGTGTGTCAATTGTAGTCGTATAATCGATTATCAGTTAACCAGATAACCGTTAGCAAGTGACGGGATAAGATTAATGTCAAGCTATTGTGCCCAAGTCCATCTTTTACTGTGCACTTTCGATATTCTTTCCTTGAAATCATTCTTATTTGAAACTAAGCCTCTATTACAACTAGGGAATGCAACGATCTTGTAGACCTTCAAACATCTCATTATTTTCAGCTTATGCATGTAGGTCATCGATGCCTATTGTTTTCTACCCTAAGTCCCTAACTATGAGGATCAATGCAGTCACAAGCGCTATTTTGCGTAGAAGCATTTTGGTGATCTAGAAGAATAAAGGCTCAACTTTTAAACTTTAAAGTGTGATTTTGACTACATTAGTAAGGAAAAAGGCGCAATTCTACATAGAAGTGTTTTGGTGACCTAGAAGCGAAAACACGTAAGCTTTAAAATGAGATTTTGACTGCATTTATGAGAACAATCATAATCAGTTAGTCGATTAACTGTTTAACCTTCAGTTACTAACCATTTAACTATAAGTTAGTAATTTACTAAATTTGGCTATCGCGAGCTTACCGTTTACTGTTTAATCGGTTATAGATGTAACCATTAACTGTTGATTGTAGTTTGATTAGCGGTTACACCATTAACATGATAACCGTTTACCCGCCATGTTATCCCAGCTCTACACGATAGCATAGAGATTTAGCATTAGAACGTAAAGCCCACCTTTTCATGGATTAAGAAGAAATATCTTCTTAGCAAAGTACTCTCCAAACCCCCACCTCGTGATTAGAGGAAATGAATTGGATTCATGGATGGTGTATCCATGGATCGAATGAATTTGTGGATTAGATCATGGATCAAAGTGGTATCTAAATATTGGTCCAATATGTAAAATTTCAAAAGTTTAGGTACTAAATTGTCATAATAAAAATTTTGAGGTACCAAAATGTGTGTTTCCAATTATTTTTTTGTTAAAAAAAATTTAGGTACTAAATGATAAAATATGTAAAGTGTAGGTACTAAACGTAATTTCCCTTATACTCTTTAAAAAAAAATAGCACATGTTTCCTGAATTAATCTCGAACATGTTGATTATAAAATGGGTAAATTGCAAGTTTGGTCACTGGAATTACTAAAATATTTCACGTTTAGCACCTAAAATATTTTATTCCATTCGTGGTCACTAAGATTAGTTCAAGAGTTCAAGTTTGGTCAATGGTCGTCAAACTCTGTTAACTTTAGCTAATGTGGCAGTCAACATTTATAGTTGACCATTAAATAAGTGACATGACAATTAAAAAATTAAAATGTAATTCATATTTTCCACCTCCCCACTCACTCCTAAATCCTAATAATAAAACTCACTTATAAAAACTAAAGCAAGAATAATAATTATAAATAAAAGGAACAACTTCTCCGAATCAATCCATCAATAACATAAGAAATAACCATAAGAGAGAAATCAAGAAATGGATATTTCTCAGATAACCGTCAATGAAACATAGAGGAGTGAAAAAGGAGGAGAAGAGCTACTAAGCTTAATCAACGCCAACCTCCTGTGGTCCTTCCTTTTAACTAGAGATTTTGGAAATTACTTTGGAATCTACAGGTCCCACCTAAACTCAAGTTTTTCTTCTGGGGAGTCGTTCGTGGCTTCTTGCCCTTGCAGATTGTTTTGTTCTCCAAAACACTAGCAACGTTAGGGGTGGCTATACGGTCCGGTCCGGTTAAATTGGCCCAAATTGATCCGGTCTAGTCCGGTTTTTTTGAAAATATAAGGACCGAAGATTGGATTGGATACAGTCCGGTCTTGGTTTTATATTGAGATTGTGGGAATTTGAATGGCCTAAAGCCTAAAAGGGTGAGGAGTTGGTTAAGTTTTGTACTAAGTGCAAAGGTTTGTGACCGTTTATGCAAATTACCCTTAAGTTTTGGATGTTGAGCTCTCTTATCCGGTCTTTATCCGGTTTTTTACCTCAAATCTAAGCCCAAAAATTGGATTGGATTGTTTACTATCCGGTCCCGGTCCAGTCTCGGTCCGGGTTATACGGTCCGGTTTCCGGTTTTTCATCCGGTCCCGGTCCAAATAGCCACCCCTAAGCAACGTACACCATTTGCTCGACTTGTTCGGAAGAACCATAATCTTTTTCACATTATTTTTTCTCGTGCAGGGGAGCCTGAGGCTTATGGAAGCTAGCTTATCTTGAAAATCAAAGGCTCTCTCTTGCAGGGATGCCGCTTGGACTCATCTTTTCTTTCAGATGAATCTAACAAAAATGCAGCTTTGCTGATACAATCTTTCTTCTTTGGAGATTATGGAAGGGGAGATGCTAGACGGTTCACGAAAGCATTCAATACCTCCCTCATGCCTTATTTCGACAGCTTACTGCTCTAGTGGAAGATTGGAGAGCGGCAACGCAAGCAACTCCTAGTCAGTCTAGGCCAGTCCAACCCCAAGATACTAGTATGAATGTTGCAGGTCCAGGGTACAACTCCGTACCAAGCAACTCGAATGCCAATTTGGGGTCTCCATTGGCCATGATTGGAGTGTGGTTTGATGGTGCTGTTAAGCCAGGACATGGGGGTAGTGTTGGCTTTGTGGGGTTCCAATAGGAAGGTATAGTTAACTTTGTCTTTGGTAAGTTTTACGATGCTATTCAAGACCGTTTTTAATGGAGGTATTGACCTTACGTGATGCCTTACATTGGTGCGTAACTCACTCATTTATTTTGTCAAATTTCATCGGGATTCCCAACTTCTGATCCGCGCGAGTGGTGGACGGAGACCTGGCTCATAGACTTGGTGGAGCTATATTGGAAGACATTCAAAATCTGCCTGCTCAACTTTGCTCTGTTTCATATACTTTTGTTACTCGTAACTATGATAGGCTGCCCATCTTGTGGCACAAAAGGCCTTTTCATCAGGAGTTCGGCTATTGGTTGACTACCGCTCTCTCCTTGTTTCTTCGGTATGACTTCTTATTGTACAAATGACTTCGGAAAAAAGGAGGAGAAGAAAAAGAATCCTCCGGGAGTCGACGTTTGCCATCTCTCACTCTCTTTCGTCGTCCTTTGCCTCCGCCTTTGCTACTTTCACAAGCCACCTGTAGCAGCAACATCAGGCCGCACACCAGGTAACTGGCTTCTCTGAGCACGATCGGAGGAATCGGATTGGAAGCGACATGGGCGACACCGTCTACTGGATGGTTCACAGACTATCCGACTGGGTTTTTCGTGCTCAAGGTGGTCGATGGGAACCACGAGGACTCCGTTCCTAACTAGATTTGCAGGAAGATTAAGATTCTCTGCGACATCAGCCACCCCAACGTCGTCACGAAATGTATGACCACAACGATGAGATCTAGGTCCTGCTCGAGTTCATGGATGACGGATCCCTTGAGGGGGCTCACATCGCTAACGTGGCTCATTCGTTGGACGCTCGTCAAATTTTGAGCGGGATTGTTTCCCTCCAACGTCGCAAATTCGTACACCGTGACATCAAGATCTCCAATTTTCTGATTAATTCCAGCAAGCATGTCATGATTGTCGATTTCGGGGTGAGCAAAGTGTGACGGTTACGGTGGGGACATATGGAGCTTGGGGATGAGCATATTGGAGTTCTACTTGGGGAGGTTACCATTCGCGGTAGGTAGACATGACGTGCTTGATGTGAATTTCTAGGTCGGAGGAGGAAAATGCCGGCGAGAACATATCGGGGTGGGTAGACTAGGGTTTGAGTAGGGGTTGAAGAGGATGGTAGGTTGAGGGAAAGATTTATTTTTAATTTTGGTATACTTAATTTTTTAATTTTAATGTTATAAAGAGGTGGAAATTGTAAAAAATTAAAAATTATTATTTTTTAATTATCACGTCACTCATTTAAGTGTCACCTATAAATGTTTATTTTTCCGATAAATCAAGTATAAATGTTGATTGCCGCATTAATTAAAAGTTAATGGAGTTGGATGGCCGGTGACCAAATTTGAAATCTTGAACTAATTTTAATGACCACGAATAAAATAAAATATTTTTAATGGCAAATGTAAAATATTTTAAACCTAGTGACCAAAATTGCAATTTATCCGTAATAATAAGGGTAATTAGCGTAAATGGTCACAAACCTTTGCACTTAGTACAAAACAGTCACAAACCTTTAATTTATAACCATTTGATAACAAAACTTTTTAGTTAGAACAAAACGGCCACAAATTAAACAGTGTGACCATTTCATACCAGTTCAAACTTTTGTTACCGTGTCGTTGCAAATTAGACTTTTGGTGACCGTTTTGTACAAATTAAGTTCAAAAGTTTGAACGCTCAATCACCGTTACAATTCACTCTAGTTGTATGGTGGTTTTGTTAATGTATGTGAATGATATGATCGTCATAAAGGATGACAATGAGAGAATTCAATGGCTCACAAATGGGTTCCAGACTGCTTTTTAGTTGAAAAAACTCTGTCTACTTTCTTACTTTCTTGGTATCGAAATTGAAAGGTCAACTGAGGGCATTCTTATTTGGCAAAGCAAATATGTCGATGAACACATGACCTGACATCTTATATGTCGTTCAAGTGGTTAGTATCATATACTTAACGAACAAACTACCCGACCTCAAAACATGACAAGCATTTAATTTGTAACGATTCGGTAACAAACCTTTACACTTAAAACAAAACGGTCATAAATTAAATAGCGGTGACCATTTTATACAATTTCAAAGTTTTGTTACCGTATTGTTACAAATTAAAAATTTGTGACCATTTTGTACTAAGTGCAAAGATTTGTTACCATTTATGCTAATTACCCGTAATAATAATAAATAATAATAATAATAAATAATGCTGGACGTGTAATAACGTCGCCTTGTGGTTGTGGTAGTGTTAAACCCTGCTCTGAACTATCCCCTCCGTAAACCCACCTTCACTCCCGCGCGCCAATCCACCTCCGCCGCCACTGCCCTGAGCTCCCAAAGCCCCTCTCTTTTCTCCTGTCGCCGGCGAAAAGATGGACGTAGACATGGATGAACGGCAGATTCAAGCTCGTTTCGTCACAAAATTGAACCCGCCATTTAAAGCTCCACCGTCAGCCATTACCATCCCGGCTACCGTCACTCGTCTCGGCCTCTCTACTATCGTCAACAGCCTCCTTAAAGCTGGTAAGTTTACTTATCCTTCTCTCGCTTTTTGACTCCGGGAATTGATCTTACGTTATTGATGAAGAGGGGGGTTTGGCGTTTGTGACAAAAAGGTGATCCTGAATGGGAGACTCAGCCCTTTGATTTTCTGATTGATGGGGAGCTTGTTCGTATGTCGCTCGACCGATTTCTTCTTGCTAAGGGCATTTCTGCTGTAAGTTTAAACTCTCTTTTCTCTCCGTTCTAAATCATTGGTTCCCTTCTGTTTTTGTTGCTCACTAGAAATTGGGGACCTATGTGTATATATAACAGGAGAAGACATTGGAAATTGAATATATCAAGGCTGTTGTTCCTAGGAAAGAGGAGGAGCCTTCACTGCATGATGACTGGGTCAGTGCTGTCGATGGTTCATGTTCTCGGTAAACCCACTGTGCCTTTGGCTCTAGTCTTTTGCAGTCATCTTTGGATTTCTGGGTCAATGAGGCATTGTCTCTGCTAGTAACAAGTTGGCTACTGATATTAACTGCTCTAGTTGTGCTTGGTGGCAGGTTCATCTTGACTGGATGCTACGATGGTTTTGGAAGGTAGAGAAGAAATTTTGTTCTTTCGCACTATCCACAGTAATCATTTTGTAGCTGCTAAGGAATCTGACTGGTGCAAACTTGTTTTTCATTCTTCAATTCTTCAGGGTGTGGAAAGGTGCTGGAGTGTGTAGCCATATACTTGAAGGGCACACTGATGTAATTACCTCCGTCAGTATCATTAACCCACTAGGTATAATCAATCACCTGCTTTATTCTACTACTGGAAACTGTTGAACAAGATTCAGTTGTTTTGTCTATGAGGTTTTAGGTGTATCGAATCACCTGTCATGTAGCACAAATTGTTATTTCAATTCTTGAGCACACTAGCTGTCTTTTTGCATTCAATACTTCTATACCTACATTCTCTAGCATTTTAGGTGCAAGGTATGAGATATGAACCCCAAGTTGCTAAATACGCTTCTGGTGCATGGTCTCTAAGGACTTATCTTGTGGGGTGTTATTCTTCTAAGTCCATTACTATAATGCAATAGGCATTAGAGGCTTCCACTGTCTATTCCCATATCAGTTGAGCAGCATATCGATCAGATATCTTGCCTTTGCTTCGTAGCAATATGAAAAGTAATTTCGTTATAAGTAGTGTGTTTATCTTACTTATGTTTGTTCTTATGGATATCGACAGTTAATTCATGTTGCAATTTCCTGGTGCAGGTGATGTAACTCTGGCTACAGCCTCAAAAGATCAAACTCTTAGACTCTGGAAGGTAACTGGACTGACTTCTTCCTCCCTTTTGTAAAGTTGGCTGCTTACAGCAACCCATGTCCTGGTTGATAAATTATTTATTCCTTTTTCACCCCAAAAGATGGATTCCGAAGAAGGTGTTGATGATGTTCCTGCCAAGATTAGGCCATTCAAGATTTTGCGTGGTCATAGTGCATCTGTAGGGAGTGTTGCAGCTCAGGCATCAGGAAGCATGGTTTGTTTTCCTCTCTCTTGTTGTTGATATAATGATAACCCACGCAAGTGATAATTTTACTTACAATTTCCATTTGATTTGTGTACGAAACAGATCTGCTCAGGTTCTTGGGATTGCAGGGTTAACTTGTGGCAGACAGATGTATCCTCTGCAGAAGGTGATTCAGTATCAATTAAGAAGAGAAAAACTAAAAATGGAACTGAAGAACCACAGTTGGAGGTATTAATTTCACTTGGTTTTTGTTAATTTTTCATATAGTTCCTTCAACTGTGTTTATACAGGAAAATTATCTCCAGTAGTCATTTCTCATTGTCATGTTAACTGGAAGAAGTGGATTGCAAGATTTCAGTAGAGCTTTATGACCACTACTACTTCCTAGCTGTTGAATCTGACAATTTTGTATGAACTGCTTTCAGGGTGCTCCGGTTTCGACGCTAGTGGGTCACACACAACAAGTATCCTCACTCGTGTGGCCAGAGCTTGATACAATTTATTCTGCATCATGGGATCATACTATAAGAAGATGGGATGCTGAGACAGGAAAAGATGTGTCGAGCATTGTATGTGGCTAATGTAGTATCAGCTTCTTTCTCTTTTTTTTATAAGTCCCAGCACGCTAATAGTGTTCTTTCCTTGCAGATCTGTGGAAGACCCTTCAATTGCCTTAGTGTAGGAGGTGAAGGTTCAACTCTTGTAGCTGCTGGTGGATCCACTCCCATACTTAGGATATGGGATCCACGAAAGCCAGGTATAGTTTCTATTCATATCTTGTCAGCTTTTGCTAAAAAGAACAAACTTTTGTCATTCTCTCCTTGTCATTTCTTTGTAGGAACATCTGCCCCTGTGTACCAGTTTTCTTCCCACACTTCTTGGATATCAGCATGTCAATGGCACAGTAAATCTTGGTTCCACCTACTATCTGCATCCTATGATGGGAAAGTCATGTTGTGGGATCTCAGAACCGCGGTAGCGTATCCTCTCTTAAGAAATTTTAGTTCAACTTGTTCCTTTACATACAAGTAAAACTGATTGAATGGTGGTTGAATGAATGTGCAGTGGCCTGTTTCTGTTATTGAGTCGCATGAAGACAAGGTGCTATGTGCTGATTGGTGGAAAGAGGACTGTGTGATCAGCGGCGGCAGAGACTCGAAGCTTCGGATTTCTTCGGGAGTTCCCGTGCTTTGAGAGGGGGCTCAGGAGAAAAGTCTCCGGTTTTCTGAAATCTAGAGAAGCTAAAAGCCAACTGTACCATAGGCATGGAGAAGCCTTTGTGATAGATATCTCAGTTTTGGTTTGTGGTTAAATTTGTATGCAACAGTCTCTCGTGCTTTTTGAAGGGAGTCCTGGGTAATACTCAAATGTAACTGCGGATGAACATTGTATGGGTTTATATCTTATTGTACCCTTAATTTTAGTGTTCTTAATTTATTTGTTTTTTCTTTTGCTGAGTTGATGATGTCTGAGATTGTCTCAAGCTGTTTTTGAAAATTAGATGTTAATTTTGAGCAGGGGGTTTTCTACTTTTTAACTATTAAGTAAGTGATTTTTATTAAGTTTTATGTTACTTATTTGAGTGTTGATGTTATGAACAAGGAAAAATTTATGAATTTATTTGTTTTTATTTAGGAGGCAAAGTCATATTGAGAAGTAATTAAGTGATATTTGTTTGACTGTTATTCATGATATGCATTGTTATTACTATCCGGTTTTTAGTGTCAATTTTAATACGAACTTTGAAATATTACAATTTTAATCTACAATTTCGGTTGTATTTTAATTTTTTTATATTTTACATGAAATCACGATTTTGACTGCAATGGTTAAGGTTTTCCAATATCTTTAGTTCACATAACCAGACATCTCTCAAGCATTCAACTACTGTGCCCAACACATGCATCAGTGGCACATCTGATCATGGTCTCTCCTTCATCACTCACACATCACCTCGGTTGTCCGGCTATTCAGATGGGGTCCGGATCACCTCAGTAACCGACCCCTCAGTAAGTGTCAGAAACCATCCATCGCACCGTCCATCGCACCATCTTTCCAGCCGTCAGATCATGCAAATTAACTACACGCGGGGGCAAAATAGTAATCACGTCTCTGACAATTTGAATTGCAGACGTGACAACGACAACCGTCCCGCCTTCTCTCCTTCTTTCTCTCACCTTTCAAGCGACAGTTCCACTTCCCTCTGCTCTCTAACTCTCCATTCTTCCTCCCGATCCTCAATTCTCTCACCAAAATCGCAGCAAAAACATCTAGAAAAAAACACAAAATAAACTTCAAATCGAACTATTTTCGCAAAGGTTTTCGAAGAATCATTCAACGATACACTGTTCTTGCTTCTTCGTCGAAAAACGAAGGGTTTCCAACTTCAACGAGGCTCAAAAATCGTTTTTGCACAAAATATCAAGGTAAAACCTCATTTCTTTCTTCGAAATCCATCCACAGAACAATAGAAACAGTATTTCAGTCACTCTTCATGTGAAAATTGTAGTAAACTCGCTAAATTACCGAATTGTTACCATGCGTTGCTGAACTGGTGTAGAATCTGTTGTGTTTTGCTTCGTTACCATATGGTAATGTGTGGTAAGCTATGATTGCATGTTGTAAAATAGCAAAAAACCATAAGTCCTGCTGTGTTTTAGTTTGTTACCATATGGTAATGTGTGGTAAGCTATGATTGCATGTTGTAAAATAGCAAAAAACCATAAGTCCTGCTGTGTTTTAGTTTGTTACCATATGGTAATGTGTGGTAAGCTATGGTTTCATGTTGTAAAATAGCAAAAAACCATAACTCCTGCTGTGTTTTAGTTTGTTACCATATGGTAATGTGTGGTAAGCTATGGTTTCATGTTGTAAAATAGCAAAAAACCATAAGTCCTTCTGTGTTTTAGTTTGTTACCATATGGTAATGTGTGGTAAGCTATGGTTTCATGTTGTAAAATAGCAAAAAACCATAACTCCTGCTGTGTTTTAGTTTGTTACCATATGGTAAGGTGTGGTAAGCTATGGTTTCATGTTGTAAAATAGCAAAAAACCATAAGTCCTTATGTGTTTTAGTTTGTTACCATATGGTAAGGTGTGGTAAGATATGGTTTCATGTTGTAAAATAGCAAAAAACCATAAGTCCTTCTGTGTTTTAGTTTGTTACCATATGGTAATGTGTGGTAAGCTATGGTTTCATGTTGTAAAATAGCAAAAAAACCATAACTCCTCCTGTGTTTTAGTTTGTTACCATATGGTAAGGTGTGGTAAACTATAGTTTCATGTTTTAAAATAGCAGAAAAACATAAGTACTTCTGTGTTTTAGTTTGTTACCATATGGTAAGGTGTGGTATGATATGTTTTCATGTTATAAAAATGGAGGAAACCATAAGTCCTGTTGTGTTTTACTTCGTTACCATATGATAAGATGTTATAAGACATGGTTTCATGTAATTACCATATGGTAACATGTGATAAATATATGGTTTGATTTGGTATGGTAGGAAACCATTATGGTACCATATGGTATATTATGGTAAAAAGCATGCTAACAGACTATTCCTAATTTCTACATTCAGGTACACTATGGTAAACCAAAGAAAAAGTTTTCGCAAGGTGCAGCCCAACAAAAGTATCTGCAATTGCAAGGACAATAAAAGATGAGCAGAAAGCGCAACTTGAGATATTAGGCCTAGCAGGCTTAATATCAATCAAGCAGACAAAGATAAACAACCCTTTTGCACGGTTCGTAATGAACAAATACAATCCAGTGAAAGAATCGTTCAAGCTACCTGACGGGACACGCATGAAGATATCACCAATTGACTTTCATAGGGTATATGGTCTGCCGATGGGGAATAGGGAAGTTGTACCTCCCATGATTTCTTGGGACGACGCAGCAGATTATGCAATAGAAACCCTACTGGAAGTAGATGGAACATCCAGTCCAAGGGTAAAGCTAAGTCAGGTAGAAAAAGATCTTCCTACAACTACAAACAGTAAGAGATGGTTACAATTGTTCTTTCTGCTGGTCACCGGAGGCTTGCTGTGTCCAACTTCATCCCTTATGGCTGAACTCAACATGCTTGAGTACTTGAAGACTGATCAATTGAAACATTTCACCAGCTACAACTGGTGCAAATACTTCTTCAACCACATGAATGAAGGATTGAAATCACCAACCCTCTACGTCAGTGCAGATCTTCACTTCCTTACAGTAAGTCTCCATTCCCTTGGTCATTTCAACCTTGTTACTCATATATTTTATATATAAATGATACTCTTTGAAAAAACTAATACAACTATCTGCATAAAAAGGTATGCTTCATGTACAAACTGGACGAAATGGCATTCTCAACCCAGCTTCGAACACCAACAGTAAGCTACTATGATGATCTCAATGTCGAAAGCAACTTTGAGAACATTAAGAGCTACTACAATGGAAAAGAGTTGAACGAGATCGAAAAGGTTGCCAACATTAGTGACAATGAGGCTGATGATGCAACTGATGAGGAAGAGGAGAATGAGCCGGTCTATCAGTCACCGAAAAGACAAAGAAACAAAAGTCCAGACCAGTCATCATCACTGAACTTTGATTTGAAGAATATCAGAACAGTCAACCAAGTAAGTACAAATTATCTATATTACAGTTGTCCAATTCATGCTAACCGCAAAGTCCTTCTATGTTTTAGTTTGTTACCATATGGTAAGGTGTGGTAAGATATGGTTTCATGTTATAAAAATGGAGGAAACCATAAGTCCTGTTGTGTTTTAGTTTGTTACCATATGGTAAGGTGTGGTAAGCTATGGTTTCATGTTATAAAAATGGAGGAAAACATAAGTCCTGTTGTGTTTTACTTCGTTACCATATGGTAAGGTGTGGTAAGCTATGGTTTCATGTTATAAAAATGGAGGAAACCATAATTCTTGTTCTGTTTTACTTTGTTATCATATGGTAAGGTGTGGTAAGATATGGTTTCATGTTATAAAAATGCAGAATAGTGATAATAATTGCCAATACCATGTATTACCACCATGGTAACTAACCATACACCATACACACATTACCACCATGGTATCTTACAAAAACTCCCATTATGCAGGCTGAGAATGCAATCAAATTGCTTGAAGCATCAATGAAGGCAATGATGAAAGCAATCAATGACCAGTACAAAAGCCAAATTGACAATCTGATCAGACACAAGGAGAATCTTGCGAAAGAAAGCTGTGATGAAAATGTTCAGCCAACAGAAGGAGAAAAATCTCAATGTGAAGATGATGAAGAAGAGAATGATGAAGAAATGAATGCCAATTTGGATAAAACACTCAATGAAATATTTAAACAGGCAAAGATAGACGAGAACAAAGAGGAGAACGAGGAGCAAACACAGAAAGAAGATGATTCACAACCATCTACAGTCGATCTTGCTGCATCTACACCGAAGGAAAAAGAAAAGGAGCAAGATGATTCTGCTCCAGGAGCTGTGAATAGGGAAAGCATCCAAGAAGGAGATCCACTGGGGAAAGTTGCAACAGAACCACCAGCACAATCTGTTCAAGAAGGTCTGAATCAGGGAACACCACAACAAGGGGACACCCCGAAAGCAGTTCTAGAACAGACATCTGCAAAAGAAACAGAAGAAAAAGGAGCTACCAAAACAGCAGATCTAATGGATGTTGATAAGGAAACAACAGAAGAAGGGAATACAGGACAAGCTGCACAAAAGACTGCAGAAACTGACAGTGAGAAAACGGTGTCAGATGATGTTGTTCGAGAAGAGGCTCCAAAACTAACAACCAAAGCTGTTGAGAAGCCTAAAGTGACAAGGGAAGACGACATTCCATCCTTCGATCTCAGCCCTCTCAACCATCAAACACCAACAACACCAACGAAGTTGACTACCACCACGGCAACCGATCAACCAGGAGAGCCTCGCAAAAGAAGAATCATGGTGAAGAATGTGCACGGAAACGAAAAGAAGGCAAGAGGAACACCACCACCAGCACAGCCACAAAGCACCCAGTCACAGAAGGAGTCATATGCTATATAGTCAAATCTGTACACAAACAGCCAAGAGAAGCTCAAGGAAGAGCGTGAATGCATAGATGCTTACCTAGAGGACCTGAATACTCCAACTGTTGAACCAGATGCTCCACAATCACAAAGATCACCAGTTGAATGGTCAACACCAACACAAACAACACCTGACGATATGTTCAGCAACATCCTGGAGTACATAAGATGCAAAAACAAGAAATTTGTCAAGAGGTAAGTCATCATCTTAAAACTTCTACTGTTATATGATGTTACTGTAGTGATCTAGTTTGTTACCATATGGTAAAATATGGTAAGATATGGTAA